ATAAATGTGAAAATAGAAAAATATATACAATCAGGAAAAGGTAAAGATAACCTTTTGGGTGTCATCCAGAACTGCTTTTAGAAATGCCACGTCATGCTCAAGGCGCACATTGTCAGAGTGAACGATATTTGACAGATTGTTGGCCTCTTCTTGCGCTAACTCCAAATTGGTAAGCTTCTCTTTCAGAAGTTCTACTTCCTTCATTGTGTCAGTAAGTCTTTTCTCCATATCCTGCTTGCTTTTACTAATCAAAGACAAATTCTTCTCAGCAGTCTGTTGCTTTGCTAATGCAGCTGTTAATTGTCCCTCTAGCAAAGAATTTTTCCTTCTCAAGGCAGCTATCTTCGCTTCATACAACTGGCGGATATTTGAAGAATTTGTCATAGCTCTGTCTTCGGCATCCAAAGATGAGATTTGATCAATTTCTGATGCAGGGATATTACTCCCTTGCCTCTGATGTAAATGGGAGCAATTTGCGTCAACCGTAAGGATACTTTCTTCTTTACTAGCTAAAATTCCAGTAATATCCATATGAACTGTTGTTTCATGATTGTTGCCCCTTTGCTCCATTACCTTAAGCAGACAATTGAGTTAATGGTCAAAGTGTGTAAACAACCCAGTTGAGATTATAAATAAACAGAGAAGCATATTTAAATATATAACTTAGCCTCTCTATCTTCTAACTTCCCTAGTATTTTAACTATTCTAATACCTTCACACATAAATTAGCCATATTTGAACATTTACCTGTGATGAAGAATTGCTTGGTGTTGGTAAATTTTCACTTTCCTTATATTTGATACCATCCATAGATTTCTGCATCTTGAGGACATAATTGCAATTTTCCTCATCATGGAATTGCTGCCAAAGTGAAGAACTACCAGATAAAGGAACTTTGCGTTCAGCCAGATGAATCTGAAAAGAGATTTCCTTCCATAGACGTGATTCTCCGCTGCAGGCGCTAGACCATTCCTTGCAATAGAATCTATAAAATGCACAGGACCATTAAGATGAGAAGCAGGTTCTTTGCTTCTTATAGGGTAATCTCCATGTGCTAATGGATATGCATCAGGAGCAGATCTCCAGCTAGTCGCATGCTCATTCTTGACCATTACTAATATCTCAATCTGTAAAAGGATTCGGGCATGTTATTAGATAAAGCCACAGAAGTTCACATATCAAACAAATATTATGATCAAGCGGCCAAGACAAGCCATTTTTGTGACCTGATTTGATGGTTCTTTCTTGTTTCCCCCAAAAGCAACAAGAAATATCTTGTCCTTGTGATGCATGGTAACTAAGCTGAATCCCTGTACAAACAACAACTCGTTCAGAAATTTCTTATAGTGCACTTGCAAGACAGTTACTTGCTTAAGTGCTATACAAGTACAGATCAATGTCATTTATACTAAATGTAGTTAGAAAATAGGAACTACGTTTCAAGCAATACTTACAGCAGGGAAATAAATTATAAATTATTGTTTGTCAGAAGAATACTGGAAATAAATTATAAATTATTGTTTGTCAGAAGAATACTGGAAATGGCATGAACCAATAAAGAAACAAATAATATTGAAGTGCAAAAAGGTTTCACAAAACAACTTGTTCAAAATGATCCAATTTCTGCAAAGAGCTAATACGAGGCATATCCATGAACGAGAAATTTCTTATAGTGCACTTGCAAGACAGTTACTTGCTTAAGTGCTATACAAGTACAGATCAATGTCATTTATACTAAATGTAGTTAGAAAATAGGAACTACGTTTCAAGCAATACTTACAGCAGGGAAATAAATTATAAATTATTGTTTGTCAGAAGAATACTGGAAATAAATTATAAATTATTGTTTGTCAGAAGAATACTGGAAATGGCATGAACCAATAAAGAAACAAATAATATTGAAGTGCAAAAAGGTTTCACAAAACAACTTGTTCAAAATGATCCAATTTCTGCAAAGAGCTAATACGAGGCATATCCATGTTTAGAAACAAAGTTTAAAAAACTTCATTTAGAAAAAATACATGAAAAGGGAGTACTAGGAAGAATAAAAGTATGCCCTTCAATAGGGGGAAAAAATAGCATGAAACAAATGACAACGAAAAAATAGCATGAAACAAATGACAACCCTGACGACTCTACAATCTGAATGGTGAGCATATTAATGTAACTGTCTGATTCCCTTAACTATATGAATTAAAGAGAGTAAAAGGACTTCATAAATTACAGCACAATATCAAAAATTGAAAAAATACAAGGAAACTTTTGAGATAACTCACTTTACTGGTAATAGTTGAAGCATTATTTGATGGACAGATGGACCACTCAGTTTTTGAGATGTCGAAGACCAAGGTTTCTGCATATCCTGATAAGGAAGCTCATGTTAGACACTTTACAAGACATGAACAATGTAAACTATATAAGATTGCACGAGATAAGTTGCATAACTGTAACATAAAATGGATTGCAATGAAGCTAAAGTTTGACATATTTCTTGAATTCATAAGTTCATAAATTGCCTGAGTCAAAAATACACACACACACTCACACAGAGAGAAAGCAGCCAGAAAATGAAAATCAAAGTGCAGACAGAAGAGGTTATCTAAACAAATATATGTTAGTCACTCACAAACAAGTTCTGAGAGAAATGGCAACATACCTTGCATATAATCATAAATGTATACAAAAGGATACGATACACAAGCAACAACTAATTGTGTGAATATACATGATGGAAACATAAAATGAAACATGTAGTTCAATCATATTGAGATAAATAGAGTATCATGTTTTCCTATATAAAAATCTCTATATACATGCCATATATTTTCTGTACACTCATATATAAGTTCAACTATGAATAAAGAATCAACAAATATTATTTTCCTGTCAAAACTTAGGCAAAGTTCCCAAACAAACTGCCTGCTCATAGCCTCATTCAGTTGAAAAATACTAAAACAGAACTGCCACCAGATATGTGAGAGAACATGTGCTAAACAAATAAACCAACTACAAAATTGAAAGCCCATCGAGCAAAGAACCATGTGGGGTAAACAAGGCAAAACCAGAAGCAAAATAACTGGACCAAAAAACTGTAAATGACCTAGACAAAACATTAGTGATCACCAGGGAGACCAGAACTGAAAATTCACAGCTACACCAAGCAACTCAATGTCCTAACAGTTGACCCTTGTGCAGCGCAAGATAAACACAAAATTGTGAGTGGGACCCACCCACGTTGTGGGTTGCTTTGTTTCACGTGGGTAACTTTGTTGTGTGTTGTTTTTGTGAATTGTTCCAACTTTGTTGTGTGTTGTTTTTGTGAATTGTTCAGCGGACAATTGTGCTGGCCCACCCGATTGACCCAATTGATAGATATATATATATATAGATAGCTATTCGATGCTTAGGGTTTTGGGCAAGTACCAGGAGAGGAGGAAATTTGTGCGGCTGTGCAAGGAGCAAGTACAGTGCAAAAGGTGAGGGGAAATTAAAGCGGCGGCCTACAGAGCTGTTCAAAGGCAGAGAGCTAGTGCAAACAGGAGAACGCAGAAGTAGGCTGTTCTTTGGGTTGTTTGGTGGCTGTTCTTGGGTGTTGACGGCTGTATTTTGTGAGAGGCTTTTGAGAGAGATAATTGTGTGAGGGTTTAGATTGAGTGTTTGTAAACCCTAGTTGTATTATCTCCCCTCTATTAGTAGATCTCCCCCTCCTTACCCCGTGGATGTAGGCAGTTTGCCGAACCACGTAAAAATTAATTGTTTGAGTTTGTGGTCATTGTAATAGTTTTTAGGATCCCTCGACGCGCAGTCCTAGAGCTGACGAGAGGAAGAGCAAATATCCCACTTTGATGGGATATTAGGCTTCAGATTCTTGTTCCCTTTGAGAAACAAGAATTCTTATCGATCTTTCTCTCTTATTGTGCATCAGAAACTCTGCCGAAATTTCCGCTGCGCACAACAAGTGGTATCAGAGCCCAGATTCCAGATCTAGGGTTTGGTTGGAGGAGTAGATCAATTTGGAGGCTCGTTTAGGGCTTCGTTGGTGATAAAGATGGGATCTTTTGGTAAAGACTCTATCTTTTTAGTTTTGGATCTATTCTTCGTTCGTTGGTGCGTAAGATGTCGGGGAAAGAAGGTGCTTCGGGTGTCGAGGGTGGTGCTTCTGGCGCGAAGACCATTCAGAGTTTGAATATCCACTCTATGAAGATAGATGTAGAAAAATTTAATGGCATAAACAACTTTGGATTATGAAAATGCGAGGTTTTGGATGCGCTGAACGCGCAGAATTTGGAGGACACATTGGAGTTAGATGGCAAGCCAGATGAGATTGAAGAAAAGGTTTGGAAGAAAATGAATCGAACGGCGTGTGGTGTGATTAGATCTTGTTTGACTCAAGATCTAAAATATGATGTGATGAATGAGACTTCTGCAAAGAAGATTTAGGAGATTCTCGAAAGCAAGTATCTGACAAAGAGTGTTGAGAACCGCTTGCATTTGAAGAGGAGACTTTATCGTTTCCAGTTGAAGAAGGGAACCTCCATTAGAGATCACATGAACCACTACACTAAGCTTCTTGCGGATTTGGCGAATGTGGATGTCGTGATTGAAGATGAGGACAAGGCGTTGCTGTTGTTGAGTTCTTTGCCCGACGAGGAATATGAGACCTTCATTCTTACTCTGATTAATGAGAAGGCATCACTTTTGTATAGTGAGGTCACTGCTGCACTTGTGAATTATCAGCTTCGAAAGAAGGATAAGGAGGCTTCAGTTGAGCCGGTAGCAGAGGCGTTGGTCGCAAGAGGGAAGAATCCGAACCGGAAGAATTGGAAGTCACAGTCTAGAGTAGGGCATCCTACAATTGGAAAAGATCAGTGTGCTTGGTGCAAGGAGACTGGTCATTGGAAGAAAAACTTCCCAAAGCTCGACGAATGGATGAAGAATAAGCAGAAGGGAAAAGGGAAGCAGCCATCATCAGAAGCAAACATCGTATCGGATGGTAATAATTCTGACTCTTCTATTTATTCGCTTTCTATCAGTCTTACAGATAGCTATTCGGAGGAATCTGAATGGATGTTGGATAGTGGTGCGACCTATCATGTGTGCCCTAGAAGGGAATGGTTCTCTAGTTTTGAGAAGCTGGTGGATAGTGGTGTGGTATACATGGCTAATAACCGTGCATGCCAGATCCTTGGGATAGGAAGAATTTGCATCAAGATGTCTGACGGGACTGTTAGAGAGTTAAACGATGTGAGATATGTTCCTTCTTTGAGGAAGAACTTGATTTCGATTGGAGCTTTGATTGGAGAGGGTCTGAAGGTTCGTGTTGAGGACATGGTTCTCGAGATTGCGAGAGACTCTCGTATTTTGATGAAGGACGTCAGGAGAAATAACCTGTATTACTTGACTGGAGGTATAGTGGCAGGTGGAGAGCTGACGACTTCTGTTGATTCGACTAGACTGCGGCATTTGGGGCTTGGCCATTCCAATATTGATTTCTCGCATAGATTGAAAGAGGGTGCGAAGACCTGCAATTTAAAGTCTAGTGAACATGTTGATGTGAGCAAGAAGACCGAGGTGAAGTTTGGCACCTCTATTCATCGTGCTAAGGGTCGTTCTAGAGGAGTTCACGTGGATGTTTAGAGGCCTTCCAAGGGAACATCCTTGGGAGGTAATAGAAGTTTGGTTTTCTTTGTTGGTGGCTGTTCTAGGCGTGTTTGGGTTGCAACCAAATCCCCTTTGGAGAAAGTCCTAGTAGTATCCAACAGATTGAAGAAGTGTGTGATAGACAGAAAGATGAAGGTACTCCATTCTGGTGGGAGGTACAAGATGGACCTATTTCTGTATTGGAGCCGAGCTCACGGCATTTCGAGACACTTCGTTGGAAAGAAAATCTTGGGGCAACTAGATAGAGTGGCAAATTTGGAGAACCGTGCCTTACTGGAGGAGGATCGGTGTTTGTGGTCGAGCAATGGTTTGCAGAAGAGTTTCTGGACTGAGACTTCGATATATTTGGGTCATCCTATTATAGAGTTGTCAACTGCTGTGATTGGAGGTAAAACTTTATTAGAAAATAGGTCTGGTAGTGCCACTTTAGTTGAGGCTTCGATGAGAGAGCTAATTGACTCTCAGCAGGTGGAGAGTTTTGAACAGACCTTAGAGGTATCGCAGCGGGTGAAGAGTGATGCTACTCCACATTGGGTGAAGATTACTTCAGATCATACTGCATCATTTGGGATTCTAGCTGAGGTGACACAGCTTCGGGATCAATTGGTTTTGGATGCAGATGATAAGTTGGATTTTGATTCGAATGCAGCTGGTAGACGTAGTTTGGATATGGCCATTGGTTCACCTCAGGTGGAGGTGTTTGAGGTCATTGGAGGCGCTATCAGCCGCAGAGTTGATGATATTGGAGAATGATTGTGAACTCTTCTATTGGATTGAGGTCGTTTGCGGCTATTTGGGTGAACTACGTTCGGCTTGATTCCTTGGGCAAGAGGATACGTAGGCAGTCATTATGATGCAGCCGGGTTGGATTTTGATGGGGTGAGATCGATTTGGTGAGTAGACACTGTTGGTTTGGGTGAGTGTTCGCACTCCCGTTTGGATCTCGACTTGTTGTGGATTGAGTTCGTACTGGACACAACAAGTGTGACATTTGGATGCTTTGGTGTCGGCTCAATTTTTTGAAAGAAACTTTGCCGAGGTGAAGAATTGTGAGTGGGACCCACCCACGTTGTGGGTTGCTTTGTTTCACGTGGGTTACTTTGTTGTGTGTTGTTTTTGTGAATTGTTCAGCCGACAATTGTGCTGGCCTACCCGATTGACCCAATTGATAGATATATATATAGATAGCTATTCGATGCTTAGGGTTTTGGGCAAGTACCAGGAGAGGAGGAAATTTGTGCGGCTGTGCAAGGAGCAAGTACAGTGCAAAAGGTGAGGGGAAATTAAAGCGGCGGCCTACAGAGCTGTTCAAAGGCAGAGAGCTAGTGCAAACAGGAGAACGCAGAAGTAGGCTGTTCTTTGGGTTGTTTGGTGGCTGTTCTTGGGTGTTGACGGCTGTATTTTGTGAGAGGCTTTTGAGAGAGATAATTGTGTGAGGGTTTAGATTGAGTGTTTGTAAACCCTAGTTGTATTATCTCCCCTTTATTAGTAGATCTCCCCCTCCTTGTCCCGTGGACGTAGGCAGTTTGCCGAACCACGTAAAAATTAATTGTTTGAGTTTGTGGCCATTGTAATAGTTTTTAGGATCCCTCGACGCGCAGTCCTAGAGCTGACGAAAGGAAGAGCAAATATCCCACTTTGATGGGATATTAGGCTTCAGATTCTTGTTCCCTTTGAGAAACAAAAATTCTTATCGATCTTTCTCTCTTATTGTGCACCAGAAACTCTGCCGAAATTTCCGCTGCGCACAACAAAAATATGGTTCAACTTCAACACTGAACATGCTTCACATGCCAAACAAGACACAAATACAGAATATTTCAGGCAAGATCGAGTGGACCCATAAATAAGCTGACATTGAAGAATTTGGTGAAAGAGAGGTCAGGCAGACCTTACAAGACTGCACCATGTTAGTATAGGGCTTATATCTGTTCAGTTTAGTATTAGTATCCCTTCATAGTAGTATGCCAGACATTAAGAAACATGTTAGATGAGAGATGGTAATACTGGCTACTACAAGACTTGATTCCTCATGGCAATAGACTCATTGCAGAATATTGCTTGCAGCTCTGTCAGACATGTCGAGTACATGAGTTAAAAAGACAATAATTTGAACAACTATGGAAGTCAAAATTGGGTAAATATGATTTTTCATCTGAAGATTATTCACTAAAACATTAAATAGTCAATTTGTACCAAAAGTCAAAACATGCATGTCACAGTCCTAACTTTACTATGCTTTCTATTACGTCAAATTTACCCCAGAGAGGCACAGCCTATCTTGCCTACGGATTTTAGCACACTACTATTATGAACCATTATCAACTGCTAATGTTTGTCACCAAGTCTATATCATATAAATTCAATGTGAAGGTTGATCTTATATCAGGAGCATGTGATAACTAACCTGGACTAGATGGATTAGATAAAGCAAACACGAGAATAACATATCCTGTTATAACTTCCAGGTGAAATAAATCATAACCACTCACATGTCCCTAGACATCAACAGAAGTAGCTCAAACTTTGTTTGTTGTGTACAAAGTTATCATGCTAGTCTAACAATAGTGAAAATCATAGTCAAAAGACAGAAAAAAGAAAATATTAAGAACTTTACCAAACACAAGCTCTTCAATGGATAAGTACTTGCAGTAGTATGATAATTATGCTTAAGACAGAAATAAATAAATTCTAGCACATTCTATGTAACACTAGATGCGTACGTTTTTTCTTGCTTCCACCCCCAATAATATACCATTTAGTTCCATAGGAAGCTCCAGAACAACCAGCTCTAGGTGATGGATGATGCCCCCTTGTCTTCAATCTTGTCCATACCATCTAGCAGAGAATGATGTTAGATGCTTATTTCCAAGAAGTGGTGATATGTTCAAATAAGAAAGAAACATTTTCTTTGAGGCTGGGGTGGAAATTCATGTACAGTTTCAAAGTCAAGCGAATAAAGGTCATTTAGAATCTTAGATTTTGCTTGCCCGCCGAAAACAAGAAGAGTTTTATCGCCATAAAGAGCAGCTACATGGTTTGATCGCGGCGATGGTCCCGTTCCTCTGAATTTGCAAGATTGTTAGTCATACGGTAAGAGTGAAAAATACAAAATACAATTATAAAAACATCCATGTCTCAGTCTATTTGAAGAACAGAGTTCTAGTTGCACATAAATACAAGGAGCTCACACACACATATATATTTTACATGTGTTGTGTACATACATACCAGTGATCGAAAACAGAGAAGAGCGATGGATTTTGAAGGGGGTTCCGGTAATGGGTAAGAGGTTTTTCACTTTTCTTCGTTGTTGTGTATTCTGAAGGAGATTGGCCCTCCTTTTATAGAGGCTAAACCCACTATCTCCACCCCCTTCAGTTCCACCCCATGAGAGATTTCCTCTCAACAAACCATTCCATGTTCCCACGTTTCTCTCAATAGAGAAACAAACGTTGATTTGGTCACCATAAGACCGAGTCTAGATAACATCTTTCACTTGACCAAATTAACCAAGTGGTATGCCTCTCACTATCCGTGAGATCAGATGTCTCTTCTTACCATTACTCCCACTATCCGTAGAGAGTAGCTCTTATTTCATTATTTATGAAATGTTACTCGGAGTCTCGGACTTATTTATTCCCAAGGTTTTAGATGTCGGATGGCTGAAATCCATGTCGGATAGCGAAAATCGGGGATATATCGACATTGACTAAATATCGGATTGTCATATCGGGTAGTGCACATATGTATAAATAATATCATGTCCTAAATGTAATCTAAGCATTCATAAATTTAATATAAGCATAATTTATAAATTCTATAGACTAAACATATAAAAAAGTAAATAATATATGAATTTGGGTTCATAAATTCTTTCTATCGGGTTCATAAGAAACCCTTAAACATGAGAACGGGTCAAACGGGTTTGGGTATTTATCACTAAACCCAAACCCGATAACAAAAAACAGATCTTAAAAAAAAGTACCATATCAGCCGATTTTTCAAAGCTAAAAAATAGCCCGATATGCTCGATATGACCCTGATATTTTCGATTTGGCCCTGATAACCGACATACGAGTTGAAAACATCCATATCGTGTCGGTCAAGCCCTCAAATCAATATGTCGGCTGACATGTCCGACATGTCGGCCGACATTTAAAACCTTGTTTATTCCTAAGTCTCATCAAACTTACATGTTTGATAAAAGATTCTGCTGGTATTCCTTTTGTCAAAGGATCAGCAATCATATCTGTAGTAGGGATATAAGTCACTTTGATTTCTCTCTTTTCTACAATATCTCGAATATAGTGATACTGGATCTTAATATGTTTTCCTTTGGAGCTATTCACGCCACTATTGATTAAGCTAATTGCTGCTTGATTATCACAATAAAATATGTTTTCCTTTGGAGCTATTCACGCCACTATTGATTAAGCTAATTGCTGCTTGATTATCACAATAAATATCAATAGGTCCTTCTAACAAATTGAGATCAAGATCAATCAAAAACCGTCTTATCCAAACAGCATGTGTAGTTGCTATACTGCAAGCTATATATTCAACTTCTTGCGTATATTTAGTAACACACACTTGTTTCTTGCTACTCCAAGAAACAACTCCTCCTCCAAAGATGAATAAGTGTCCTGAAGTGAACTTTCCATCATCTCTTTATCACCTTCGAAATCAGCATCGGAATAACCGAGGAGTTCAAGCGAATCAGCTTGATAAACTAATCTATAAGTCAATATACCTCTGATATACTTCATAATCCTTTTAACAGCTTCCTAATGTGCTGGCCCTGAATTACTTTGATATCGACTGACTAGACTCACAGCATAAGCTATATCAGGTCTGGTACACAACATTGCATACATCAAGCTTCTAATTGCTTGAGCATAAGGAACATATAATGGCTTATGCCGCTCTCCAGGGCTTTGCTCTTTACATAATCTCTTTTCCATAACCAACGGAGTTGGTGTCGGATTGGAATTCTCCATTCCAAACCTTTTAAGAACTGATCTTAAATATTTTTCTTGGTTTAAACTTAGCATTCTAGACTTTCTATATCGAATTATTTGAATTCCAAGAATATATGATGCATCTCCCATGTTTATCTTAAACTTTTCGCTGAGATCTGCCTTGATTTTATTCAACATTTCTAGGTCATTTCCAACGAGCAATATATCATCCACATATAAGGATAATATAGTAAATTTGCTCCCACTTTTCAAGACATATACACAATTATCTAATTTATTTTGAATAAAACCAAGTTTAGTGACTGTATCATGAAATTTGAGATACCATTGTCTAGAAGACTGTTTTAAACTATATAGAGATTTTATTAATTTGTAAACTTTATGTTCCTGTTCTTTCACCTGAAAACCTTCAGGTTGTTGCATATATATCGTTTCCTTCAACTCTCCATTAAGGAATGCTGTTTTAACATCTATTTAGAATAACTCCAAATCAAGATATGTAACAATAACCAAAATAATTTTAATGGATACAAATTTAGCTACAGGAGAATACGTCTCCTGAAAATCTATTCCTGCCTTCTGGTTATAACAATTGGCAACTAACTGTGCTTTGAATTTATCAATAGATCCATCAACATGATATTTTTTTTTTGAGCACCCATTTACATCCTATGGCTTTCTTATTTTCTGGTAGATCACATAACTCTCATACGTTATTTTTTTCCTATAGAATCAAGTTCTCTCATTAATTCTAGCTATAAAGTTGATTCATGCGATTTCATCGTATCAGAAAAGGTTAAGGGATATTGTTCTTCTATATTTGTATCTATCGAGAAACATGATGATTCTCATGAATACAAATAGTAATCATCCATCCATGAAGATTGTGTTCTTGACTTTTGTTACCTACAACCAGTTGATTAGGTACATTATTTTTCATAGGTATTTTATCATTTTCAAGATTAGGTTCATTCATAATATCAGGGTCATTAGTGGGAACAACACTGTAATAATCATCATCTATTATAGTTAGAGGTTCTGTTTCCTCTCGAACGGAACAACACTGTAATAATCATCATCTATTATAGTTAGAGGTTCTGTTTCCTCTCGAACTTGTTCCTCTTCCTCTAGATTCTCATCATCTATTATAGTTAGAGGTTCTGTTTCCTCTCGAACTTGTTCCTCTTCCTCTAGATTCTCTAGAAACGTAGCATCTCTGTTTTCAATGACTCACTTTTTTTTAGCTGTAGAACTTATAACTTTTTAACTTTTCTGAATACCTTATGCATCTACACTTTATTGTTTTAAAATCCAACTTATCTCTAAGTTAATATAGAATGAGAATATGGGCTATAGACCCCCACTTTCTAAGACGACTCAAGTTAGATTTCCTCCTATTCCATAATTCATAAGGTGTAGATACAACTGATTTAGTGGGAATTCTAAATAAAATATAGTTTACAGTTAATAATGATTCTCCCCAAAAGTTTTTAGAGAGACCAGAATGAGATAATATACATCTAACTACATTCAACAATGTTCTGTTCTTTCTTTCAGCAACACCATTCTGTTGTGGTTTATACGGCATTATTATATGCCTTTTAATTCCATGTTGAATACAATAACTTTCAAATTCTTTAGAATTATATTCCCTACCTCTATCAGTTCTCAAATTTTTGATTTTCAATCCAAGTTGGTTTTTAACTTCTGTCTTATATCTCTTAAAGCAGTCAAAAACTTCTAATTTTCTGGATATAAGATAGACGTGTGCAAACTTAGAATAATCATCTATAAAAATAATAAAATATTCTTTATTACTGAGTTTTGACACTTAGGGAACCATAAATATCCGAGTGTATCAATCCTAAAAGTTCATTGGCTCTTTGTCCGCCAATAAAGGTTTTCTATTCATTTTACTAGTTAAACAATGTTCACAGGGTGACAATTGAACATTAGATAGTGCAGAAAGTAAGTTCATTCTGATAATTTCTTTTATTTTTGAAATACTAGCATGTCATAATCTAGAATTCCACAATTCAGACTCAGAAATATAACAGGATAATTAGTTCAAATTCGAAATTTCATTATCAGAATTATTACAAACTACTGAAAGAATACATGATTCATGCTCGGGCACATATTTTCCCATAGCATACACTTTATTATTTTTGTCATAGAAACTCTATTATTATAGAACCTAACTTCCAGTCCTTTCTTCATCAAGCTGGGAACATAGATCAGATTGCGTCGAATTCCTGACGCATAGAACACATCTTTGAGGATAAGAATATTGTCCCTAAGATCCAATCTATACGAACCAATACCTTCTACATCGAGATAGATTTTATTTCCCATATAGATTCTCTGTTCTCCTTTCTTCAGCTCGGTGAATTCTATGACTCCATTCTTGTCCTTTGTGATATGGCTAGTCACACCGGAGTCGATCCACCAACCACTGATATCTGTCATCATAGCATTACATTCCGTCACACCGACGAATTCTTTTTTGCTAGTACCCCTTTGTTCTGGATGCTTATAGCCTCCCTTATTCTCCTGCTTTTCACCTTGCGGGCAGTTAGGCTTGAAATGCCCAAACTTTTCACAATTGTAGCAAGCTCCGTGGGGTATTTTTTTCTCTTGAACTGCTGTGATTTCAGTCCTCACGGTTGTGGTTTACTAGGACCAGAGTTTTTATAGCTTCTAGCATTATGCCTCTCACGGACATAATTCAGCTCTTGCTACACCATATTCAGTTCTGGTTTTCCTACTGGCTATTAAGTCCTGTTCTATCACTAGGTGCATAGGAAAATCAGTGACAGACTTAATGACAGGATTCATTTTTAATGTGGTGACAGCCACAACAATGGAAGGGAGGAGACTATTTAGAATGGTTGTCACTTGCATTCTTTTCGGGATTTCGATCCCAGCAGTGGATAAGTCCTTAGCTATGACAATCATCTTGTTAACATGCTCTACGACATTGTCTTCCTCTTACATACGATAAGAATTATACTTATGCAATAGTAGTTAAAATGTTAACTTCAGAGGCGGTGTCGTATTTCTCTTTTATTGCATTCCACATGTCCATAGAAGTCTTATAAGTTTCAAAAACTTTGATTAAGTTATCTTTCATGAACATGAGCATAAGGCTTTTCGCCTTTTTGTCTTTGGACTTTTACTGTTCAAACTATTTCTTTTCTTCGGGTGTTGATTTATCAGTAAGCTTTTGAGCAGTGGTTTGATTACATAAATGTTGTCATGAATAAGAACATATCCTATTTTTCTATGCCACATATCAGAATTATTGTCATTAAATTTGTCAATTTTTCCTAGTTCTGATAGAACGAGTTTACTAACCATTCGGTTAAGAACTAAAACTAAATAATTTTAAATATGTATAATGTTGATATTTTGAATTATACTAAAATACAATAAAGTTAAATAAATAAATAAAAATGAACCTGATTTTTGTGAGTTGAGAAACGTAGTTCCAATGAAAGCGAGATCGTCACTTAGTGGTGTTGACCGAAGAATCTGTTGTCAAAGTTTTGACGTAGTTTTTGACTGGATTGGAGATGACCTACTCAACTTGGAACAGTCGGACCAACAAACAACACAACACTCAAGGCCCAACAATGAAAGCCCAATATTATGATGTAGAGAAAAGTTTTCACGGGAGAAATCAAAAGATTTTTGATATATAATCACTCAGGCCCAACTAAAAAAAGGCCCAATAACTAACAATCTCCTCTCCTTCTCAACGTCAGATCTAACCTACGACACTTCACCCAAAAATCTCCTCTTTCTTCTCAACAACCCTTCTCTTGAAACCCTAACTCCAAATCAGCCGTCGTCATCGTCTATCGAACGAAGCAGCAAGGGTCGTAGGCGGCCAAGCTCGTTGTCGTCGATGTCGGCGTAGATAGATCTAATCGACGCAGCTTAGAGATCGATGGCGAAGTCGTCGTCGCAAAGCTCGAGATGATCGGTTGACACAGAGCTCGAGAGGGCGGCGTTGAGATCGACAGAGCTCTGATACCAATGATCGAAAACAGAGGAGCGATGGATTTTGAAGGGGGTTCCGGTAATGGGTAAGAGGTTTTTTACTTTTCTTCGTTGTTGTGTATTCTGAAGGAGATTGACCCTCCTTTTATATGGGCTAAACCCACTATCTCTACCCCCTTCAGTTCCGCCCCATGAGAGATTTCCTCTCAACAAACCATTCCACGTTCCCACGTTTCTCTCAACAGAGAAACAAACGTTGATTTGGTCACCATAAGACCGAGTCTAGGTAACAGAAGATACATACACATACATATCTATATGTATTTATGCGCATATGTACGTATGTTTACACACACATATATCTGCTTACATCTATAAATAGATACACGCACACTTATATATACATGCATATATACATATATGTGTGTGTACGTACATAGATACACACACGCACATATACACATACATGGTTATCGGCCGGTGCTGCATTTATTGTCTGACCGTTTGTCGGAAATTTTGAACCTTGAAGTCGATTCCTGATTTTTTTGATCTTCAGCTCGTGGGATTGACCATCGATTGCTGGCGTCGAGTTTTTATGTGCAACGCATTGTCCGGTGTTGTGTTGTTGAGTTATCCTTAAGAGTATTTTTTAGAAAAATACTCTCCAGAAACTTCTCAACCAAAATTAGGGAACAGTTTATACTCATATACCTCTCTCAACAAACCATTCCACGTTCCCACGTTTCTCTCAACAGAGAAACAAACGTTGATTTGGTCACCATAAGACCGAGTCTAGGTAACAGAAGATACATACACATACATATCTATATGTATTTATGCGCATATGTACGTATGTTTACACACACATATATCTGCTTACATCTATAAATAGATACACGCACACTTATATATACATGCATATATACATATATGTGTGTGTACGTACATAGATACACACACGCACATATACACATACATGGTTATCGGGTGGCAGCTCATTTAGCAGAATGAGCTACGAAGAGATTTAAAGTTGCGAGGCTCACACCTTCCAATGTGAATAGTGAGGGGCATCACCACATATGTCAATCTCTTGGTAGCTCATTTAGTAAAATGAGCCATCATGTCAGACACATCACTTATTATATATACACACATATATAAACACATACATATACATATGCATATATAGACACTCAACAAAGTAACAAGACTAAGGATACAATAGTTGAAGTAAAAGGTACAGAGCGAAATTATACTCACTTATAGCGCAATGGAAGCCACATTAGAGACTTCAAATCAAACATATGAAGGTCATTTAATTTCCTCCCTTTAGCATCCTCACCTCCAAAGAGAATCAGAACAGGACCTGCCCTGATCACTGAATGGCCACTGCGAGCAGCCTGAAATTCCATGAACATGTTTAAATGTTGATGACCCAACATCTCTAGTCCCATTTGGTGTCAAATAATTAGTACTTCCTATAACCAGAAAGATAGCAGTTGACTCAAATTTTAAGGAGATAACAAACAGAGCTACCTTGCACAAAAGAAGTTCAATTATAAGGAAATCAATGATAAAAAAACATATAAGGACCAGCACATAAAGGGAAATATTTCATGTTTAATTTTTCAAAATTAATATGCAGGATCGCATGCATACATGTACATCTCAACATAGAAAATATTTGTGGGCTCCAAAATGAATAAAAAGTAAATACTGTGGAAACTGGAAAGACACTGAAAGGAGATCAATTTCTCCAAAAAAAGAAGATAAAATTAAAGGAAGTTCCATTTAATGAATTTGTGACAGCAGTAGATACCGGTATGTCACCCTTTGCTTCTATATTTGACCAGCATTCTGTCTCCATGTCAAATGACCATACTGAAGAACAAGGAAACCCGGGTATAAAGTGACAAGTTTGTTTTAGTTGGTGAAAATTTATTGAAAGGAAAAAGCAACACAAACCTGATACTCTGTCATTTGAAGCGTCGGTTTTCCCCCCAACTAGTAACACGTGTGTTCCCCAAGAAACCTGCATGAAAAATGAAACTAGAACTCCTTCAAAAATAGTTCAACAACTGTCTCTAGCTCCATAAAACCATCAAATATTTTATGACCTAAGTAGTTGAAATTATAGGTCAATTAGAAAATATTTTGAACTGGAATTGTTATGCATCAAAATGTTGGGCAATTAATAAACATGTCTGAAAATAAATATAGCTGAAACAAAATGTTGCGATGGATGGTTTGTGATAGGATAAGAAATGAGTGCATCAATAAGAAGTTACATAACTTTCATTCACGACAAATGATGAGAACCAAATAAGATGGTTTAAACTTGGCAACTGAGTGAGAGAACTGCAGTTAATGGAGAATCACAGACCACAAGGAGCCTAAATGAGCAAGTATTGGAGTTGTGAAAAAGGATACAAGTAGTTGTTAATTTAATAGAGAAGATAGGCCTTAATAGAGCTTAATAAAAGATAAGAAATCATACTTTTAAATAAACCCTGCTGCTGTTGTTGTTGTTCTCATACATGACATGTCCCGTAAACTTAGGGAGGAAGTATCTAAGAATACTGATGACTAAGAATTAAGAACCAATGACTAAATCAGTATGCATACAGGATGCAAGACACCACTCAGTAACAAAATCTATTTGAGAACCACCCAATGTAATACGCTTTGGAGCAGTATAGACAGTCCGTGTCAGAGCAGAACATTTGTATCCGTGTCCACAAATCATTGATTATTTGAGAACCACCAAAGGTAACATGCTTTAGTTTTGCAAACCTTAACAACCTTAAAATTTTCAATTTTAAGGTTTCTATTAATTACCTTGAAGTTTAAGCTGTTAATAAGCAAACCTAGCTTCCAACTAGAACTAGCTAACAATCAGAGCTTAACTAGGCATTCTAGTTCATAGCTCCATTTACAGAAAAGTCAAGATTTGAACAAGGTATATATCACCTCAGTTTGAACAAAACTGATCACATATACCAAAAAAGAAATGTAGTAACTAAAAGAACTATGGGCAGGACCCTTACTGCAAGCTTTAACAAGATAATTATAGATGAGTGACTACAGCAACCATGGCTGAGGCCCAGCTCACTGCAGACTTTTTAACAAAATAATTATAGAAGAGATGATGAGTAAATACCAGGCAATGACCCCTGCAAGAAGGAATCTTGAGAGGTAGTCCAGCTCCTGACAGGTAGACCTTCGGAGCAGCGGCAGCCCATGTGAGCTTGTCCAAGTTAAGAATCTGAAAGTCATTGAGAAACACATCACATGTGGGGGAAAACAATTAAGAAAAGTATAATCTACCCAATAACTTTAGTGTATTGTTGAGTTTAAACTTCAAGTGTATATGCGGGAAATGGCTTGACAAACTTTTGCATGAGGTGTCGACTAAAAACGAAACATAATGAACGAAACTTAAACCATTGCACGATCAACATGCATGTCTACGTACTTGAAAATTTTAATGCATACATCAAGCCATGGATCCAAATAAGAGCTCTACTTGATGAAATTCTAGGCTTGACAGTTACCTTATTGATTACTGAACTGTGATGACCATAATATGATGATTCAATGGAGTTTGTCATAAAAGTTATAACACACCTAAAACTCCCCAAGTCCTAACTTGTAAATGCTGCAGACTAGTGACATTACTGAATCGTGTTGACTAGATTCATTGGAATGTGATGATTAGATGAGTTAATGGAGTTTCTCATGCAAGTTATCATACAATGAAAACTTAAAACTGCCATCCAACTAGATCTTCCTATGACCCACATATCCTCTAGATATTATAGGCTAGAGGCATTACTGCAATAAAGTGATAAGTTTCAAATTATCTCTATACATAGTGGAAAGGTAGCGAAATTTTCAACAACCATATCACATGGTATAGACTTCATACAAGTCCAACGATATTTCCCACTTTTAAATACTAACAATGTATCACAAATTAACAAAACTAACTTAAAAGAAAGCACACCGGCTAAAATTTAATATTTGGAAAACAGATAGATGTGAATTACCATTGTGTCATCCAGCATTCCGTGACCAGATTCACCACCCACAACCACCATTTTGTTCCCAACCACAGCTGCTGCATGCTATATTAGGGGGGGGAATTCTTTTCTTGAAAGAGAACCTCACAAGCATCAAAAATCAAATGCAAAACTAGAATATTAATTAATTACATGAAATCTCGGTGTGGGCTTAGCTCCACTGGTCGATAACATCATCCAATTATCAAAATTCGCAACAAGGCACTCGTTAATGTCAGGGGCGTCAGGAGAGCAGTTACAATTGAAATCCTCTGAACGGCCACTAGCTGATGCTGTTACAACATTCTCTTCCTTCAAAGAATCCTATATAGTGACGTCAATGAACTTTTGAACCTACTAAAAGTTTTACTTGCTAGCATGAACCTTACATTGGACTGGCCAAGGCGCTTTGTGGGCCTCATGGGGCTCTTTGTCCCCTGAGTTGGATCTACAAGATGACCCTTCAACCTACAAATGCCAAGGATATGGAAATGGTTGAATTTACTAGTTTAATCGGAACCTATGAAATTCATGTAGCTTTTTATGTGATTTTCCCCTGAAATTAGGTCTAAAGTTGCAACTTTTAAACGAAAAAACAAAAAAGAAGCTATTTTGCGAATGGAATCATCAAAAAGAAGATTTTTTAAAAGCAATGGAGCTAAAATGGAAGTAGTATACCTCCCCAATTTCATCCTCCGGCGAGAGAACCCGAACATTTTCGGCATTGCAAGCAGAACAGTAAGAAACCCTAGAAAGCAAGATAGCAGAAGCTCAAACTGCTGAAGGGAGGATTTTTAGCGAGTAGGTTTTGGGTCTGGATATATGTCCTATTTATTATTATTTATCTAAAATGTTACATCATTTTCGGTTAAGTTGTTATTTTATTATGTTTCATTATTACATTCAATAATTAAAATAATAATAATAATAATAATAATACCCTAATAATAATGTCTGTAGCCGTATTTGTGGGTTCGGTTCCCGATAAAAAGACAAAACCAAGAAGAATCCCTGGGATCGCTTGCTCCCTTCAAAAGTTAATACTTTTTCTATACCAGCCGCTTCGCACGTGCTCACCCACGTGCAAGTTATTAAAAATAAAATTAAAAATTTATATAGAAAAAAACCCACTTCACCTTCACTATATAAGCCAGTAAAACTATTTTTATATGCATTACTCTTGTCATTTTGACATTGTGACTTTACCAAACGGAATACAGATGTATTTTGTTTTCTAATAATTTATTTGATGAGAAACAAAAATATTTTCTCATTTACTTATATGTTTCTATATCTTCAATTTCTCTTCTAGGATACCGAACATTTTTTAGCTAGAATTTAATGTATATACATTTAGTAGTTTTTATTTGTATGGCTTTAAAAAAATTTAATAACATTGTTGAAATCTGCTTGTGCCTAATTACTTTTTGTAACAATTTAAAAAATAACGTTCCCTCTATTTAAAATAAAAAATAACAAATTTTTCTTATAGTATTCTAGCATAATACATTAAAGTTACAATTTTAGAGTATCTTGCATACTTAAAAGAGTAGGAATTACTAAAAATCTTTAAATAAAAAATTTGATGATGCAAATTTTATTTACATGAAAAATATTAATTCATACTTTATAGAGTGAAGAAGAGTCATGGAGGAGGATTATTTATAATTTATATTATATGTAATCTTAGAAGTTAATTTTTTAAAATAATTTCCAATAGAAGACATGCTTATATATTATAATTACCATGTTTAATTTATAGTTTTATAGGTTAACAAATATTTTATTAATTTATGTTTTGTCAGTTTTTTTATGAGATATATGTGTGAAATGATTTTAGTGAAAGAGAGAGAATGAGAACGATAGTGGGAGAATAAGGACAAAAAATGATGAAAGAGAATGAGAGCTAGAGAATAAAGACAAAGAGGATTTGAAAAACTTTTTCTTTAATAGTCTAGATTATCTCATTAGTATATTGATACTAAATATCAAATTGACACCCATAGCTTGTGACCCGAATGATTAGGAGGTTCTAATATGGCTTCTATGGTCTTTTGTTTGAGTTGGGTTATAAAAAAATACTAGCTTGCAGGTATACTTTCTAATGTGTCAAGTAGCTAGGTACATTCATTTGAGCTGTAAAGATGTTTTTCTAAATCAAATTAGTGCTTAGAAGGGTGGGGGATCAAATTAGGTATTCTTTTTCCTTCTAGGGTTAAAACTACGTTAGGCCAATTGAAAATGGGTTAGAGAATCTTTGCAACTAGTTTCAGGCCCGTGCGATGCACGGATTTGTTTAATATACAAAAAATGATGTAGCAAAAGAATACAAACAGTTTAAACAGTTTACGAAACGTTCAAACAGTTTACGAAGCATCTTGTTTGAAAAATTGAAAATGCAGGGAGAGTTAGTTCAAATCTCAAGGATAACTTTTTATTTTTTATTTTTTATTTCAAATTTAGTATGGAGAACTTTTGTAGAAACTTGACAAGTGGTATTTGCAAGAAGATAGCAATTGATATGTTTGCCAAGTGTTGTTTAAAATGATATGGACCATTTTTGCCAAGTGACATTTTTGCCAAGTGGCGAATTGAAGGGTAACAATTTTTAGTAATAGTATATAGATTTGGGAAAAATTGTTCTGTCTCTCACATGATTAGAGAATAGAGGGAAAAAGAGAAGGGGGAATGTTTGGGTTTTTTTCCCATTATGGTTAGTTAAAAATCCCACTTCACCTTCACTACATAAGCCATTTAAGTCTAATAAGATGCACATGGCTAGTCACGTAAGGCGATCTCGCCAAAAATTTGCTACGGCAAAAAGAATAGGTTTTACTATCACATTGTCTCACTTTATATATCTTATCGTCAACAGAGAAAAAAAATATACCAAGTTGATATTTAGAGTCAACATAGTATATCAATCTGGTAATTTAGCCATTTTAATATAATTGTATAGATATTGGTCCTTGTTGTATTCAATGGTTTTTTCTAAATCAAGTCCCTAAAATCTTAGATTTTTTGAAGTTAAGCCCTCAAGCTATGAAATAATTATAACGTCTCACCATTGTTATAAATCTATTGAAATTGGTATCTCAAACTACTGAAATTGATACTTTGGATTAATTTGAAATAATTTATAAACCTAATAGTTTCTGTAGCAATTTTAATGACTTGAGGGACTAGTTTTGAAACAACTTATCTAGACTGAGGACCTTATAGCAATTTCAATGATATGAAGAACCAATTTCCAAATATTAAGGATTAAAGAAACTAATATTGAAAAATAGGAATCCCTAAATTGTTTTATAAGTATATTTCAAATTTAGCTGACTCAATGGTAAAGATTAGTCTTAGGTAAACTCAAACCTAGGCACCGAGAAAGAACAATAGTGTTTTAACCTGATCCGGACTTGTTTGGCTTTGAGAATTTGAAGAATATAATTCGCATAAATTTTTTAATTTCCTTAGTGCCAACTTTTTTGTTTTATCAATTTTGGTTAGAAGGACAAAAAATATTTAGGGCCTTGTTATATTAGATGGACCCCAAATATTTATTAATTATATTAGATGCCTGGTTCTTTGCATTTCTAAATTAGACTCAAGTACAATAGGTCGTTTAAATAGTAACTCATGTATTTTTAATTTATACCCACCAACATCAACACAAGTTACAAAACACATGGATCCTCATACACAACACATGGATCCTCATACAATAATAAATATGTACAAAATTAACATGTAAAAAATGGGCCTTTTTACCCTTAGAAATTATCTTAAAAATAAGTTAATTATATAAAAACCACATTTCAATTTCAATTAATTCCAAAACCATCTTTGCAGTAGGTTTTTATTGCTATCAATCACCTCCTAGTCAAAATTTCACTACAAGAAAAAAGTTTAAAATTTTTAAGTTCAATATACATGAGTTGTATTCTAACAAGATTTAAACACTAAAAAAACTAGTGTGTATCTTGAATGTGACTTTTTAAAGGCAATTTTAGATTTTTAGTGAAAATTTTAACTAGGATGTAGTTGATTGCAACAAAAACCACTTTGAATGTGGTTTATGTATAAATAAAGGGGGGTTTGCCTTTAAACCAAAGTTTGAACCCTGTTTACTTATAAACCCACTTACTTCTAACTACTAGGTTTTATACACGTGCAATACGTGTGGTTAAATATCGTGATTAAGTATTTTGGCTTATTTTCTAACTAAAATTTGTTCGTCAGATCCACTTTAATAGTTTGTGCTCACTTTTATCTCTAAACTTTAATATTATGATCATTTGTTTTCTTTGATCTTTGTTTCAAAATGGGCTACACCCAATTTAAATTTCATGTTGATATTTGAATTCACAGAAAATAAATATAATTTGAAGCTAATTTAAATTTTTATATTATTTTGACTGACATGAAACCAAGTTTTATTTGAGAAAGTACAATGTTGCAAAAGTAAAAAAATATTAAAACAGTGTTATACAAGGAAGGTGAATAGTTAAAACTAATAAGACAAAATGATTGATTGAAAGTATGCTAAAACGGTACAAAAGGGAATATAAAGTTTATCTCTAATCATTGATAGACTTCATAATAAATTAAAAACTAAAGAATGCTAACTCTAGTATACTTTTGTATGATAAAAACGTCCACATAAGCATATAAAAGTATTAAAAAAAAGTTCATGAAATTCCCTTCTAAATATTCCTGATTTCACTCAAAATAAATAAACTATTATATAAAATATTCAGAAAATATTGTCTTTTATTCCTTCTATTTTATTTTTTATTACGCTAAGATCAATCATTCTTCACATTTATTGTTTTCCTGGGTAATTCTAGATTAGTGTTTTTATCATCTACGTCGATTGTGACATAAGACTGGAGTTAATTATATATAAAATTCTTTGTGTTCCTAATTTATTACTTAAATAAGGTTACAAGCTACCTCTTGTTTCTCTACAATGAATTTTTCTGATGTGCATTCAATAAGAGTTTCTGTTATGGCAATAATATTACATTTGCTCTATCCCTGTCATTTTCCACAAAGATCAAAACTAAATACATGTATATTTCATTACCAATTTGCCTTAGATTATAATATTAATATTTAATTTCTTTAGTATTTGAAGAAAAAAAATATGAAATTTATGAATATTTATTAATTTTTTTAATATTTTCCATGGAGAATTCTTCTTTGATTGGGATAAAGTTATTTAATTATTTTTAATGTTACTCAGTCGGTGCTTCTTTAATAGATATACCTTATATTAATGCTAGTTCGAGTGATTCATGGACGTTTTCTGAATTTCAGATTTAATTAGTTTCGTTACTTTTCCATTTGCAATGGAAATATCTTGACTCTTTTTAAGGTATCTTTGAACATTCTGATAGTTTCTCCATACTTAATTCCTTATATTCTTTTACCCTATAAATATTATTAATATTAGAGATTAATATTTGTAATTTATAATCAATTAATGCTAGGCTATCATATTATAGTCTTTTATCATTTTTATGGATTTAAACATCTATTAATTAATGTTTCTAATATATTTTTGCTACTCTAACTTATTAGTAAAATTATATGCAGTTACTTTAATTTATACAGTGACGATAGTTTTTAAGCTATAATATTTTTAAAATTTTTATTCCTTAACCAGATATTTTTTAATCAATAATTATTATTTTTATTTACCAATATTAACTTAGACTATGTTTAGATACTGAAAATAGATGGTAAACCCTAAATAGACAAATATCCTACATCACATTTAATTCGCCCGACTCAACACTTGGGATAGTCAAAGTCCCCATTCAGCCGACT